GCAAAGTTCTGAATTGCACTCCATAGTACGGCTGTTCTCTCTGCAGGATAATACTTGTTATAAAAATTCAAAACAAGAGTTTACCAGTCAGTTATACCAAGTGCAGTTCTATTTAAACCATTAAACCATAATTTGGCTTTTCCAGTTAAAGAGAAAGGAAATAGGATCTCCCTGATTTGGTCTTGTGTGACCCCAGCTTGCCTGATGGTATTACAGTACTGACAATAGTCTGCAATATGGAGATTTGAGTCTTCACCCTTAGCTCCACTAAATTGCTTCCTTTCTATCATCGTTATGAATTGGGGTTGAATCTCAAATTGTACCCCATCAAGAGCCGGAGTGGGAGTAAGGTGTGGAAAATCAGTAAGCTTTGGTTGTGAGTAATCACTAAGCTTCTTTGGAGCCGTCATCTCTGATTCTGGATCTGATAATACCTCTGAATCGCTAGAACCTGTTGCAGGATCTCGGTGATTATTATTATCACCAGAATCCGCCAGAATTTGCTTGTAGAAATTCTTCTGTCTGTGGAAGGATCGTTCGATCTTAGGATCGAATGGGATGTAACCTGATCTGGAACACCTGGGCATAAATAAATAAAAAAAAAGCAAATATGAGACTTTCCTCAAAGAACTAACGTTCTCTGAGACAAAAAGAAATAACCTAGACTACAAAAATAATCAGAAATAAAAACAAAACCGTTTCCCCGGCACAATTTTGACAGGGTATAGTCGTATCCCCTAATCAAAAGTATTACCTAAGTCCTCTAACTAATGCAGATAGGGAAGTAGGGTCGAATCCACAGAGAAACGAGTCTTTTTATTCCTAATTAATTTATATAATCTAGATTATAAAGTAACCACAATATAATGATCGAAGGAAACTAAACTACGAAGATTAAGAATAAGGAGAAAACAATATATAAAAGTATCTATGGTATAGGTTCACCAATAAATAATATTCCAGGGTAAAACATAATAATCAATCATCAATGCATACATTAATCAGATCATAAAGGGCTTTCGCTACGTATTACAATCACACAATTAATTTACCGGTATTAAATCTCATCTCTCGAATCTCGACTTAACCATTTATAAATTAACCTGCCTATTGAAACTAAACCTAAACATCAATTCTCATCTGTCAATCTCGAATCAATATTGTTAAACTCATGCATAAAAGATCTGCGCTAATCTAGTCACATAGCATTAAACCAATCAATAGGAAATTAATCTAGCATTGATAATCAACAACAATAAATTACCCCTTCATATTATTTATGGATCCCTACAAACCCTATAAATAAAACTACTCACACATAATTAAATCTAAACTAATCAAAGCAATAAAACAAGACATGATCAAAGGAATAAAATAAAAAACTAAGATTAAGAGAAGAGAAATCGTTACCAAATAAATTTGGAATTAAGAATATAGTTGAGAATAAAGTATAAGAGAGAGAAAACTAATCTAAAAGCTAAGTAGAGAGAGAAAATCTAAAAAAGAAGGTAAATAAAATTACGTATAAAAATCGTACTTAAACCTCCCTAAAACAAATCCTAATTGAAAATTAATCAGATCCCCTAAAAAACACGTGCCCGATCGGGCCCGCCTTTTTCTCTGCGTACCTTCTAAACACTCGCGCCCGATCGAGCTAGCAGCTCACCCGATCGGGCGCGCCTTTGGCCATGCACCATCACACTCTCGCGCGCCACGCCCGATCGAGCTAAACTTGCCCGATCGGGCCCTTGCTTCACCTCGAGGCTTGGAACTTCGATTGGGCTTATCACTTCGGCCCAATCCGGATATCCACTTAGGGTCTTGATCATTCGGTCCAAATACCTCGGTATCCCGATTACCGAGCCCTTAATCACCGGCTTGATGACTCTAACCGGCCTTGGGCTTCAAAGATGGTCGTGTCCTCCTAACGCTTGTAGTTGCTTCGTGAAAAACCCGGAAAACGCTCCAAGTGTGCAAACTCCAAAAACACTAGAAAACACAAATTAGTAATAAAAGTGGCCTTAAAGAGCCAAAAACACTACTAATTATGACCAAGGGACGGGGGTAAAATACTATATAAAATAGACATATCAGTCAGCCCACCATCGCCTATAACACCACCATTGCTCTAACCCATTTAAACTTCCAACCCCCTAACCACGGTTGCCCTTACCTTCTCCATAGACACCGCTAAACCATCTGCGACATTGAAAATCGCACCTCGTAACCACCTTAAAACACACTCGACACCCCCAAAACCATCTCCACAGCCACCTCCGCCCTCGACCATTGTCACTCCTTTAAACCCCCTCACCTATTCCACATACCCCAAAAATGACCTTGTAGCCACCCCTTAACCATTAAACCTCCTTGAAACTACCTCAAAATCCCCTCACTCATCCCACATACCCCGAAACAAACCCACGAACCAACCTAAACCCTCGGTCGTTGAATCCCGACAAAAAAGGGCAAGGTTCAAGTGCGGTTTTCCGATACATACAATGGTAGGATCGGACTGGATATTCGCCGACGGCGGAAAATTGGGGGTTGGGGATGAGTTCAATTCGCGACGGTGGTAGGGTAGGGGCTGGGGTTGGTATCATTGACCGTGGAAGAGTGTAGGGGCTGGGTTCATGAAAATCGTGACAGTGGGTGGTGATTTTTTTTTAATTAATCATTTCTTTATAAATAATATAGTAAAAAAAAACAACCTATCGCATTGCTACACGTGTCACATTAACCTATTCAATAGGTTGTCAACCAGTAGCGTTCTATTTTTGGCAGATAGTTATCAAAGGTCATTTTATTACGGAATAATTAAAATGCCGTTTTAGTTTTAGAAGATCGCTGAAAGGTCATTTTATTTTTGACAATTTTTCCTAAGCCTAATTATGATCGGGCTTAGTTGATCAGACCTTAATGCATTTGTTTTTGGGTTAGGCTAGTCATTTTTGTGTTCTTGTGATTCAATAAGTTATCCATAAGTGTTCTTCACGTTGATCCAACACGAAGATGGTTTTATTTATCGTCATTGCACTTCCTATTGGGACAGGAGGCCAAAAGTAGATGTCTACACCCACACTTATATCGAAAAATACGTTCCTACCCTTGTTATAAAACTAACCAAATTTACCTCAACTTTTGCACTTTCACTCTCCACAAATATTTTGATTGTCCTCTCTAGTGGTCACCGTAGCCACCAACCACAACCGATTAAACACAAAAACCATAACTTTCAAAATCAACCAAATAATTCCAATTTTGCAAAATCAATAAAAAAAATTTTGAACCAATAATTTTAATAATACTAACAATAATAAATGATAATGACAATACTAACAAAAACAATATGATAATTTAATCAATATCAAGTCCAACTACTCCATAGTCAAAACTACAAATCAAAACAGCTCTAGAGGAGACCAAACACCAATCCTGCAAACCTTTGTGATGATATCTATATATACTTAATTATTAAAAAGCGTTTCTAAGCTAAAATCATCTATGTTGCCTAGGTTGCATTCTTACCATCTTAGCTAATAGTAATTCATGTCATTTATATACACATAAATTAATATCTCCTCCGTTTTTTTAGTTGACACTGTTAGACTTTTACACTATTCACACAACATGCTTTGACTCACTTTTGTGGTTTATAGATATGATAAAACATGTTCATGTGAGATCTTGTTTGAATCGTTTTAATGTATATATTATTAATATCCAATTTTTATAATTTTACAATTTTATTTTTCTTAGAAAAGGCAAAGTTTTATTATTCACAATAAAAAAAATTACACATAGGCTACTAAGCCCCTAAGAAAATGAGCTTAAGCCAAGCTAAATCACTAGCCTTACCTCTAATAGCAATTAAGCTACTAATTCTATGATATACATCATAACATATCCTACTAATTACAACTTCATGTCTAAGCATTCTACTCTTTCACACAACCTCATTTCTTTGCTGCCAAATGTTATAGTGCTAAATAGTCTTTTGGAATCCATTTTTAGCCTTCCAACACCAAGTATTACAATCCTCCAAAGTAGATAACTGATTCTGAGAAACTGCACACCTTCCCTGCAAAAGCTGAGCAAGTCTCTTGCTGTAATCACATTGAAAAAATAGATGTTGAATGTTCTCAGCACCTTGAGAGCATAGAGGACAAGTATCATCAGAAATTGCACCATATAGCTTCAATTTTTCCTTGGTTCTCAGTCTGCCCCACATAGTCATCCAAGTAATAAATATGTGCTTTGGAATGTTAATTTTACAATGTTGATAAGTAGAGATATTAATCGTTAAAAACATGTGTTGGCAAACGTGATAATAAAAAGGTGTCAACTAAAAAAAACAGAGGAATTATATGCTTAAGTAAGCACATAAAAAGGATAAAAAATTATTTCGCCTAGAAAAACATTAATAAAGAGGTATAGTTTCAACAAAATTCAGACAATGCTAATATTTTTTTTTAACCAACTTTATGTTTTAAAGTAGTAACACGATGCAACGCCCGCGCTACACACTAGTTTGGAAATGAAATTTACAATAACTATTTTAACGTCAATAATCAACCAATAACCCCAAATTCGAAAAAATTGATAATCAATCAGCGCGATAGATCAAACCTTAATCGAACCCAAACCTTAATCAAACCTTATTTAGGCAACTTGATCATCGATTATTCAACAACGATAATTAAACCCTTGTGTTCGTTTGATCACTTATTTCGCACAACCAGGTAGGAAAACACCTAGAAATTTCGAATCTTGGACGGTGATTCGAAATTTTTGAAACGCCTCGAAATTACAAATCTCCATCGAAGATTTGAAATTTCGATGTGTTTCCACCTAGGAATTTCGAAAAAATTAGGCGTTTCTACCCAATTCTGAAAAAAAAAATATATTCTTTTGATGCGTCGACATCCTCCCCTTGTCCTTGCTCACCATTTTTGTGGGATGATGATGCATAGATCTACACTTTTGGGATATTTTTGTAGTGTGGGTGGTGGTGATTTGTAAGTGAAGGGAGGTGGTGATGGTGGTTGATAGTGAAATTTTTTTGAATGGAGTGAAGACGTGAAGTGGGTGATGGTGAAAGTGATTGAATTGAATATGGTAGTTTTTGTTTATATATATGGGTAAGTTCGTAAAATTAAGTTTTCTTTTTCTTTTGTGGGCATTACCCGGAGATTTTAGGGTGATATTTAACAATCCAGCACTAAATAACCGAAATCCAAAACTTCCATTACTAGTCTTCTATCTTCTTCCACCGCTATTCAACCTCTGAATTAGGGTTTATACTTTATATACTTTGTTCTTGAAATTAATTTCCATAGCCAAACTCCCAAGCACCCTTTGATGGCTACATCAACCGTAAATTCAGGGTCAGCAAACAGTAGCAGTGGATCAAAACACTTAATTGCAGAACAGGAGAAGATGATTGAAGGAGAATTGGAAGTAGCAGAAGAAGTTTTGGAAGAACCCATTGAAAATCTTGATCAAAATGTCAAGGTGAATGAAATTGCACCGGAATATCGAAAAGCGAAGACGTCCGTTTGGTGGGATATTGAGAATTGTCCGGTGCCCAAGAATTGTGATCCTAATTTGATTGCGCAGAATATCGCCTCTGCCCTCCTTAAATTGGATTACGGTGGTTGTGTTTCGATATCGGCTTATGGCGACACCCACCGTATTTCTTCTGCTGTTCAGCACGCCCTTTCTTCCACTGGCATCTCCCTTAACCACGTCCCTGCTGGTATTTGATTTTATCTTATTTCAGCTTTTATTGATTTGATTATGAGATATTGTTGGTTTGTTTTCCTGGGTTTTACTGTTTTTCTATGATTAGTTTTTGGTTTTAGAGAATGATTAATGAAATTATGTTGTTTGTGATTACACAAGATATTGATACTAGTGTGTAGTGTTAAGGTTTCTTTTTGCCTGCGATACTCGGCCTGTGCGATAATTATTGCTGGTCCAGAGTTTGAGTGAGGGTTGTGGAAATCCCGCTTTAGATTTAGCCACATCTGTGAGCGAGTGATTACCAAAGTATAAGAAAGCTCAAGGCACACTGAAGCGAGAGGGTTTCTTCAGCACCTAGGTGCGCTTCTTTGAAGTGAGGCGCACTATATGACCAGTTTAAAAATTTTGGCTGAAGTTTGGTTTAGGTGCGCCTAACCAAAAATGCCTTGCCTGGAATAAGTTCAGCACATGCCCCTCACTGCCTTGCGCCTCAGCGCCTAGGTGTGCTTTTTGATAAGCTGGTAATAACTCGGCCTGTGTGTTAAATCATTGCCGGTGCTAGGCAACTAATAAGACTTGATCCCAAGGACAATAATGTAGATGAAATTTGATCCCAGGTTTGAGCCCCACACTCCCATGCCTCATCCCCACAAGACTTTAACTTAGTTGATTGGATGACTAGGTTTGGCCATTTGGGCTAATGCTTGCCTCAAGATAAAAAGGTTTTGGGCTAAATGTTAACAAGCCTAACTCTTGTAGATTAGGCCAATCAAATAATCCGACTAGTCGACTACAGAGCTCACTATATAAAAACCTCCTCATTTCATCCTAACAAAACCTTACTGCAAATTTGTCGAGTTTTCCAGGAAGAATAGAAGAATTCTGGGTGAGGGTTGTGTCTGGTGACATCCCACATAAAACTTAGTAACACCCATGAGCCAGTGCATGAATCCAATAATTGTTAATTCTGTTTTGATATAATAGGAGTATTTATGCTTATCGGTGTACATGTTCTCTTTACCCTTTCTCTTAAAGCCCTGATGCCCCCACTTGGATCAGGTGTTAAAGATGCCAGTGACAAGAAGATTCTAGTTGATATGTTGTTTTGGGCTGTTGATAACCCTGCCCCGGCTAATTACCTTCTAATTTCTGGGGATCGTGATTTTGCAAATGCCCTTCATCAATTGCGTATGAGAAGATACAATATCCTTCTTGCCCATCCATTTCAAGCCTCTGCTGTCCTTGTTGCCGCAGCCAAAAGTGTGTGGCTTTGGACCAGTCTGGTCAGCGGCTGCCCCCCTCTTACTGGTAACGAGCCACCACAACCTGAAAATGGTAATATCTGTAATGATGATGCAAGTACTGTACAGGAGGTATCTAGAGTTCAACAGAGGGAAAACAAAAATACTGGAAAGAAGAGAAAAAAGGAAGGGGATATTAATACCCCAAATCGCCAGCTTTCTAACAAGAAGCTTAAGGTGAATTTCCAGACCAATGGTGGAGGTAAAATGAAAAATGGAGCCGGTAATTTAAGAAGTAATGCTGGGGGACAAAGGCAGAACATACAGACTCAGGGAGGTTGTTCTAAGAAATCTCGTAGTTGTGGGAACTGTAACATGAACCATTTAGGTAGAGACTGCCAAGGGAATCAAATTCAGTGTTTTAAGTGCTTGAAATTTGGACATAAAGCCAATAATTGTCATATCAAACTTATGAACCATCAGACTAAGAACTCTCCAGCAAATAAGAGCAAGTCTAAGGACAATCAAGTCAGTAGTACCCCCATTGCTATTGGGAACAAAGCTGTTGAAATCTCAAGCTTCAGTGAAAATAATGGCCTATGTGATGGCCAAACTTTTGAAGGTAATCTTGCACTGTTAGGACAAGCAGGTAACCTTGAAAAAATACAAGTGATGATAGCTACCAATACAATTCAAGGAGAAGCAAACAGTGACATCAGTCAAGTAGATGCCCCCGCCATGGTGATGAATCAAGCTCAGTCCAGCAGTCATGCACTGGTTGGACAAGAAGGTAGTATTGCAGATATGCCAATGACGATAGCTACTAACAATGTGACGCAAGGAAAAGTAAATAACAACAAAGCCTCTAAACCATTCAATAAGAAACCTCGTAGTTGTAAGAAGTGTGGTGCAACCCACCCAGGAAGAGACTGCCTAGGGAATATATACCAGTGCTTTAACTGCCAAAGATTTGGACATAGGTCCTATGAATGCTATAGTAAGCCTATGAACCATCAAAATCAGCATTTTCGTACAAATAACAGCATGTTTACCGACAGTCAAGTCAACAATATTCCCACTTCTAGTGAGACCAGCTTTGGAGGAAACTCAAACTTTAGTTTAATTTATGGCCAAGGTGGTGAAAACTTCAAGACTAATCAAGCACTGGTGAAAGATGTTGGTAACCTTGATAAATTATCATTGACGACGGCTCCCCACAGTGCAACTCTAGGAGAAACAGGCAACAACAATCAAGTAGGTTGTCATACCGGTGATACCACAGTGATTAACAAACCTCAAGCCAGTACAAGTGGAACATGTTTGAGCAATGGATTATTGCAACATGCACAGTTTCTGTATCAAACTTTGCGACGGGCAACAAAAACAGTTACAAAAGTTGCAACAGAATAAATAGCTGTAGCAAAAAATAGAAACATACATATTGCACCCAATCGCATTGTATACTGCATCAACTTCTTTTCGGTAGTAGACTCCAACCGGAGGTCTGAATAAAACTTAGAATATTTACTCACAAATTTTCTAATACTTTTTTTTATATTAAAGAATATCTTCTGCAAGTGTATGTTTTGCCCCTCAGTGTCATTTTAGCCCAATCTCCTCGATGGAAAAGTCTCTTTATTATGGCTCATTTACTTTGTTTGAAATTCTTTGGTGTTTATTTTACCGTTGAATTTATTATGGTGATTACATTTTGAATTTCATCCATGTCTTCTTCCTTATTTGGTTTTCATATGAGGTTCATTTTCACACAGATCTCTAATTCTTTCTATACCTCATTTCTTTGTTTTCTCACACCCTGAATTGCTATGTGTTTAATACACAATTTGGCTGGTTCTTCTCAATTGAACTGTGAATTTGGCCAGAATTTACTTACCTGTAAGTCCTTCAGTCAAGGTGATTTATGATATTGACGGTCAATTTGTTGAGTTCATGTGTATGCTGTTGATGGGAAAAGATAGTTTCCTATTATGTATATTTATCAGAAGGTGTAGCAGATAACTCTTTATTCTGACTTCCCTTGAAAAACTTACCAAACTTGTGTGAAGGTGCTGCATGTTATGGACATTAGACAAAGATGAGAGACGAGGATTAGCTTTTTAGGAACATGAATAGTATTTCTTTTATAACTTAGTCATGACAGTATAACTTCATTGTTAATTGTCTTAGTGTTACAACTAAATTAGCCTGGAAACTGCAAGTAACATCCCATGAAGGGTGGCTGAGTTACTTTTCTGAATATGGTGGTGTGTTGTAGTATCTAGCTGAATGTTCTTAACTCATTGGCAACAGTAGATGTAAGTTTCTAATAGTTTTGCGCATTTTGTATCTGTAGCTTTTCTATGTGTCACACCTTCCGTTTTTAATTTCTAGTTTTTCTTACGTTATCCTACTCCCTTACACTTCGCATTAGATGATTGTATGGAATTGATTTTATGGTTTTTCAAAGAATTGCTTGAATGTTCTTAGTATACTAAGAATATCCTAGCTGACATGCCTTTGCTTGCAGGCTTGAGCTCCTAAACAGCTGTTTACATAATTTTTAGACTTAGTCTAACATTTAACAGTTATTGTGCTCTTATATTATTATCACATTTTTGTCCATATTGCACTTGCTGGTCAGGTATTTTTTTTAATGAAGCTTTGAAGTTAGCTGCACTATATAAAACGCATAAGGTGAAAGGTACTTATTGAATTATTGTATTCATTTAGATTCTTAGATACATACGACCAACAAGGTATCTTTTCTTCTTCCTTCTTTTTCAGCAAAAATATCATGACTTGTATGAAAGAAAGAGTGTAGAAAAAAGTTGGAATAGTTTAGGTCTAATTCCCCCCCCCCTCCCTCCCTCTCGCGCTTATCAATATATATATACTAAAATAACAACCGCTGATGTTATCATTGTCTACGTGTCATTTTTTTATTTAATTTTTTCTCTCTAAAATGCAAGGATGGTGACATTTTTTTTTTCCTGTTTTTAAGCTACCCTATTTAACATAGCTTTGAAAATATATTTCATTTGAATTTTTAAGTTTTAAATTTTGGGTTTTCTACACATATTATGCTATTTAGTTATTTATGAGTTGTTAACAATGAGTAGTTAATAATATAATTTAATTGAAATTTATTAATTATATATGAAAATTATGCACTTTCGGGAATTGTATATTCATATTTAATCATAAATTAATTAGGAAAAACGAGGAAGTTATTTTCTTTCGGTACGTGTTAAAAGTCTATAATTCAAATTTTATTTTAAAACCGCGTATAGCACAGGGTTAATCTAGTTTATATGATTTTTCCTAGCAGATAGATACTTCACCTGGTCTGCAGTATTTAATTTATTTATATATCGGAGATTAGAACAATTGCTATGCACCTAAACTCGTAGGATTTTTCTGTAGCATAAAAACAAGCAGTTCAGCGAGTATGCTATCCTGTATAGGCTCATTGCTAAGCCCTAAGCTGAAGAAAATTGGCTCTGTATCTGCTGTTTTAAGGCCAAGATTATTACTTTAATAACTGTGATAGCAATAAGTTGTGGTTAGTCTGGTTACCTTTTTTAGTAGACCATTTCATTCTCTGCAGGTTTTGATTCTTGAGCAACTATTGGATCACTTGTTTTCAAGCTTACCAATATACCAAGCAGAAGGTGGTGGCTTGCTTTCAGGGTACATGACATGTGAAATTTTATTGTTACTACTGAAGTATCACAAACCTAGAATTTATTATTCGAATCACCCAACTAATAAACCCACTCTTGGTCCCTTAACCACTGTCCGAATTAAGAACGAGCAAACTATGCATGCAATGAAGCTAAAATGCAAATTTAGTTAATCTAAAACTGTGTACTAAAGCCACGAGATTACCCTTATTTTAGAGTTTATATGACCCTTGAGACTCCTTATAGGATTTAGACAACTCCTAATCATAGCCTTCGAGCAAACTAACTAACCCTGCCATGCAAAGTTGCAAGCAACCTATTGTTAGGCAAATTGGGAAAAGTCGAGAATTTATGAAAAATAAGCTCCTGAAATTTCTACCGAAGTCTGCTTGATTTGGCATGAATGCAGTTCTAGGGGATATCATTTAATACTTCAAACACATTCTGTGGAGTCCCATCGGGCAGGTTGCCTAATCGGGTGCTGTTTCGGGCATTCTTTGGATAACCCGAAAGGGGGTTATGGATTCCCACGGGAGACAGATCCGGGATGCAACACTCGCACGGCCCGAACACCTGCAAAACAACAGAACTCCGGTTTACCGGAGATTCGCCTCCGACGATCAAGTTAGTGACCGGAAAACGGAATTTTAGAGAGAGAAAGTAGAGAGAAGTGAGAGCATATTTTGGGCATTGTGCCTTTTGGAATTGTGTGTTGTTTTTTTTCATCATGAAATGATGGGGTATTTATAGGGAAGTGGGAGATCATGCTCCTAAGGTTTCATAACCTAGGAAGATTGGTTGCCCTATACGTGGTTGACACGTGTATTAGGGTTTCCTTCATGCTAGGCATGTTTCCTTAATGTGCTTTGAGCCTTTCATTTTCTAATATCTCTCTTTAGGCCACATGTCTTGCTCTTATTGGCCTTTATTTAGCTGAGCAGAATGTCACGTGTCGGCTTATAATTGGGCCACTTGTTGGCCTCTCATTTGTCTATAAAAAAGGGGGTAAAAATACCTCGAAACATAAGCCCCTCGAGAGGGGTGATTTCTCTTCTCAAGAGGGATTATACCTCTCGAAAATGAATTTATAACTTCTTTGAATTCGACATCTTGTCTAGTTCAATTAAAAAAGGTTTGATTTACTTGGAAAATTTTATACCTTAACCGGTATGATATTTTCTAAGTTAATCAATCATAATAATGATTGCCCTTGAACTAGACAGATGTCGATCATTATGCTTTTTAAGCCCCACTTTGATTGTCTTGCGACTGATGGGTTACTTAACCTTTCTTACAAGGTTTGATTGGCTATTAAGCTTTTTCAATTCCTCTTATTCATGAGGTTTGCCCTATTTGGTCTATCCTTTTAAGGATTATTTTGGACCTAGGCTTGTTAAAAGATATTTGTCATTTAGACATTTTTTCTTTAATGGCCAATTAGGCTTAGATGCTTTTTTTTTTTGCATTCATTCGGCATTTAGTTTTGCAGGTTTCAATTAACTTAGACTAGGATAATGCCGAGAAACATTTAACACTTGCCGAGGGGCTTTGCCTCGTGTCTGTGCCGAATTAGATATAGCATTTGCCGAGATTCTTAGTCTCGTCTCTATGCCACGTGGGATGGATTTTCCTTTATCTTTTCTAGGCGTCCAACGACTTTTTAGTTGTTTGGACTAACCTTTGAGATATCAATTGACATTATCCTTTTGGCCCTCTCAATAACTTCAAGTTCTTATTAACAAGAAGTTTCGTCCTATGCCCTTGTCACTTATGACTCAATTGGGCTCGGACTTAGTTGGGCGAAAGTTGACCATCTATCACTTCTTGCCCTTGCTTTCAGAATTCTTTTTGGCGCATGGGCTTAGAATTCTTGCATTTTGGAGTACCTTTGAGATTTCTATTCGACATTTTTGCCGCCTAGAATCTTTGTACTTTGGAGATTTAAGCTATACAATGTGTTTTTCCGAGTCAATCTTCGGGATTATACTCGGTGTTTTACCATCGTATTGGAAATTATACTTGGCAATGTTGTCGTATGTTTCTTTCATCTTGGCTTTTTCCGTCATAGGAGCTCGACACATGTGCCATTTTTGCTCTTTTATATGGTAAGTCTTACTCATATTTGGAGGGTGATGTATGAACATCTCAACCTCTTCTAAAGTTTCTGTACTTGTTTGGATGAAGGAGCCATTCAATGTACACTTGGATCATATAAAGATCTTTACATTGCCGAGGCCTTATAATAAGGGACCTTTGTCCTTAATTTCATGAAGTGACTACTCAATAAGGAACGCTTGGACCTTAGTCTTTCCTTATTGCCCCAATGGGGTGGCTTGTCTTTCAAAAACTTGAAAAAATGTGTCAGCTTAGCATTTGGTATATTAATTAGGTCGTTCAACTTGATTATATTGTAACGATACCCAACCTTGAAGCTATCTTGTAAGCAATTAGTGCTTGCATAGATGGTCGGACACTAAGTAGGCATCCATGGAGGGCCTACTCGGCCTAATTGCATTAGGCTTTAGAAATTTGTTGCCGCTTGCGGTCTCTAGTAATAAGTCGAGGCCTAATGGTCCTCGTCCACTTGGCTTTTCACAAGTGCTGCTTGTCCTTCTAAAGGGAGGTTGCTTTCTCATTAGCTGTTCGACACTTTAACTCTTCCAATTTATCTTCCAAAAGGAAGATTGTTTTCTCAAGCTAGGCCTTTCAGCTCATGCATCGGCCAGCTCGATCAGTTGCTTTGCTATCTCTTGCGTACTTGCCCTTATCCATTAGGACTTTACGCTTGGTTAGCCTCATGTCCGTTTGATTATTTTCGGACAGGCCTCATCTTGGTGCTCAAATTCACTTTGTTGCTGGACGACTCTCTAGTGGCCCAACTTCAGATATTGCATGTCTTCATACGACAAGCTGCATAATTTGGCTAGGACCTTAATC